TATGCTGAATCTAACCATGTATTTAGATTTTTGATTTTTGGGCCCCGTTATCAACTTTGTCCACATTGAGGTCAAAAGGGTCCAAAATTAAACTTTGTTTGATTTCATCAAAAATTGAATTCTTGGGGTTCTTTGATATGCTGAATCTAACCATGTATTTAGATTTTTTATTTGTGGACCCGCTATCAAATTGGTTCATATTGAGGTCAAAAGGGTCCAAAATTAAACTTTGTTTGATTTCATCAAAAATTGAATTATTGGGGTTCTTTGATATGCCAAATCTAAACGTGTATTTAGATTTTTAATTTTGGGTCCCGTTTTTAAATTGGTCTACATTAAGGTCCAAAGGGTCCAAAATTAAACTTAGTTTGATTTTAGCAAAAATTGAATTCTTAGGGTTCTTTGATATGCTGAATCTAAACATGTGTTTAGATTTTTGATTATGGGCCCAGTTTTCAAGTTTGTCCAAGTTGGGGTCCAAAATTAAACTTTTTTTGATTTCAACAAAAATTGAATATATGGGGTTCTTTGATATGCTGAATCTAAACATGTATTTAGATTTTAGATTTTTGGCCCAGTTTTCAAGTTGGTCCAAGTTGGGGTCCAAAATTAAACTTTGTTTGATTTCAACAAAAATTGAATATATGGGGTTCTTTGATATGCTGAATCTAAACATGTATTTAGATTTTAGATTTTTGGCCCAGTTTTCAAGTTGGTCCAAATTGGGGTCCAAAATTAAACTTTGTTTGATTTCAACAAAAATTGAATATATGGGGTTCTTTGATATGCTGAATCTTACCATGTATTTAGATTTTTTATTTTGTGGGCCCGCTATCAAATTGGTTCATATTGAGGTCAAAAGGGTCCAAAATTAAACTTTGTTTGATTTCATCAAAAATTGAATTATTGGGGTTCTTTGATATGCCAAATCTAACCGTGTTTTTAGATTTTTAATTTTGGGTCCCGTTTTTTAAATTGGTCTACATTAAGGTCCAAAGGGTCCAAAATTAAACTTAGTTTGATTTTAACAAAAATTGAATTCTTGAGGTACTTTGATATGCTGAATCTAAACATGTGTTTAGATTTTTGATTATGGGACCAGTTTTCAAGTTTGTCCAAGTTGGGGTCCAAAATTAAACTTTGTTTGATTTCAACAAAAATTGAATATATGGGGTTCTTTGATATGCTGAATCTAACCATGTATTTTGATTTTGGGCATTGGACCATAATAGGTAAATTAAAAAAATTGAAGTTCTTAGACCACATTCTTTCTGTGTCAGAAACCTATGCTGTGTCAAATATTTAATCACAATCCAAATTCAGAGCTGTATCAAGCTTGAATGTTGTGTCCATACTTGCCCCAACTGTTCAGGGTTCGACCTCTGCGGTCGTATCAAGCTGCGCCCAGCGAAGCATTTTATTCTAGTTTCAGGACAATAACTTGTGTGTAAGTGTATTGATCTTTATGAAATTGTACTACAAGGTTCCATATCACAAAGAAAAGCTGGGTTTGAGTTTGGGGGTAATTGCCCAAAATGTTTAGGAATAAGGGGCCAAAAATAAGCATTTTTCTAGTTTCCAGACAATAACTTGTGTTCAAGTGTATGGATCTCTCTGAAATTGTACTGCAAGGTATCATACCACAAAGGGAAGGCTGGGATTGAGTTTGGGGGTGATGAATCATAAGGGGGTTCAAAAAATTTGGGGGAGGGGATTTTTTTTTCCTTTTTTTTTCTTTAAAAATTTTCCATTTAAAATTGGTTATTTCTGATTATATATAAAAGCAAATAATAATGATATGGTTTGAATAGGTAAATTAAAAATTATTAAGTTCTTAGACCACATTCATTCTGTGTCAGAAACCTATGCTGTGTCAAATATTTATTTACAATCCAAATTCAGTGCTGTATCAAGCTTGAATGTTGTGTCCATACTTGCCCGAACTGTTCAGGGTTCAACCTCTGCGGTCGTATCAAGCTGCGCCCCAGCGTAGCATTTTATTAAAATTGGGAGTTATTTCCTTTGTCCATGATTATAATTGAATCAACTACAATCATTGCTTTATACAATGCAATGTTTAATTTTGACTTCCACTGATAAAACACAGATGAAGTTGAATTTGGGTAGTGTCACTTTAACCATTATTAAGTTATGCCTCTTTATAAATCGAAAGATTGCAAAATTGTTAGTTTCCATTCTGTAACTTAAGTATTCCCCAACCAAACATTATGAAACCTATACACAATATTCATTACCACAAAACTAAGATCAAGTACAAATTTTTTGTTTCCGTTTTCTAACTTTAGTTTGCCTCAACCAAATGTTATGAAACTTATACACAATGCTTATTACTACATAATACAGATTAAGTACGAAATTTGGTGTCGACACTTTTACCATTCTTGAGTTATGTCCCTTTATAAACATAAAAATTGCTGAATTTTTATGTTTGTCTCAACCAAATGTTATAAAACTTATACACAACCGTTCTAGAGTTATGCGTGTTTACAAATAGAAAAATTGCTGAATTTTTAGTTTCTGTTCTCTACTTAAGTTAGCCTCAACCAAATGTTATGAGACTTACACACAATGCTTATTACCACAAAACTCAGGTCAAGTTCAAATTTGGGTAGCGTCACTTTTACTGTTCTTCAGTTATGTCCCTTTATAACTATATGATATGTAAGCGGGGGCATCATCTGTGTCCAAATATGAACACTATCCACATTTATTTTTTATGTCTTTTGGAATTTGATGTGAATTTGCTGTCTCAATAATGTATACTCCCATTATCAACTCACCTGACCCTCAGGGTCAAAAAATTGAAAACAACACGTTAAATAATTTCATGCGTCCGAAGCGCTTTTCTGGATTTACCTTCATCAGGAATGCTCAAAGCCAAACATTTGAAATCTGAGGGATGTATAAGTACCGAAACAGTTGAAGAACTATATGACTAAAACACCTAAAACAAATAGCCAAATTCATTTAAGGTCAACTTTGCCTGAGGGAGTTGAAACCTTAGTTTCTTTATAATTTCAAAATTTATTAACGGACAATTTAGAAGGGTTTGTTACAAGTGAGGTATCAGACATCTGTTGTTGTCTTCGTCAGTTGTCATTGTCGTCCTTCTACTGTTGCAAAAATCTTCTCTGAAACTACTGGGCCAAGAACCAAACTTGGCCACAATCATCATTTGGGTTGCTTGATTAAAAAAATGTGTCCAGTCATTCTGCTTAGCAACCAACATGACCTACATGGCTAAAATTAGAACATAGCGGTAAAATGCAGGTTTTATCTATTTTCTTTAAAAGCGCTGTAGCTAGAGAAAATCTTACAGGGGCAGAAATGTTTAGAATATTAAAGGCTTGTCTATTTTCACCAGACGAATGACTTCTTATTGGAATTATAGCATTTATTGCCCTTAAATGATGATTTTTACTATTTTTAAAAGGCATTACCTTTATTGGCATCATTTAAATGCCATTTTGTTTACTGACTTGAAATAGAGTTCACAAGTTTTTCATTCTTTAGTTGTTTCAAGATCGAGTAAAAGTACATTTGTATGTTTTTGCTTGATTTCATATTGAAAATTAGGTAAATTCGATGTAACATTCCTCAAACACATTATTTAGATTGATTGTAATTTTTTATCACTTCACTTAGAAAATGATTCACTTATGAGTTATACAACTGCCTTCATTTCCAGGCGCAGTGAAACAATAAATTGTTTGTGTTTTATTAATGCAGTCTTTTTTATACGACTGCAAAAGTTTTGCGGTTGTATAATGTTATGACGTTGTCAGCGTTGTAGTTGTCCGAAGACATTTGGTTTCCAGACAATAACTTTAGTATTAGTGTATGGATCTCTTTGAAATGGTACCACAAGGTTCCACACCACAAACAGAAGGTTGGGATTGATTTTGGGGGTAATTGTCCTTACTGTTAAGGAATAAGGGGCCAAAAAAAAACAACTTTTCAAATACTTTGTATTAATTGCTTATTTCTTGACCAATTTCAATGGGCTTCAAAGTCTTGAATTCTTGGAGTTCTTTATTATGCTGAATCTAATCATGTCTTTAGATTTTGGATTTTGGGCCTGCTTTTAAATTTGTCGACATTGAGGTTCAAAGGGTCCAAAATTTAACTTTGTTTGATTTCATAAAAAATTGAATTGTTGGGGTTTTTGTGTGCTAAATCTAACTATGTATTTAGATTTTGGATTTTGGGCCCTGTTTTCAAGTTGGTATAAATGGGGGTCAAAAAATCAAACTTTGCTTGATTTCAACAAAAATTGATTACATGGGGTTCTTTGATATGCTGAATATAACTGTGTATTTATACATATTACTGATTTGATGTTTACCTATAAACAATAACCAGTCTCATGAACCATACCACATTTATCTATAACTAATATTGATTCAATGAATAGAAATGGAAGAGTTCTATTTGGAAAGAAACCATATGCTTGCCATTATTAATACTTTAATATCATACACAAAACTTTTAATAACTATTTCTAATTTTATTAACATATTAATACTAAGACACAATTGTATAAACACTATACAAATATCATATTCACAAACAATTCTAAAATACATGAAATCACAATAATTGTATCATTTGGCTTTCTAGGGGGCTACTCATTAAAACTTACAACAAAAATAATTAAAATAACACAACTCAAAAACACTACCTAATTATGCACCTGAGGTAGATCCCAGATAGGTGATGCTTTTTGTTCATAAAACCTGTGGTAGAACCCAGACAAGTGAAACAATTGTAAGAACCTGTGGTAGAGCCCAGAAAAATAGATAAGAGTGAATATCAGAATACTGTTAAAATTCACAACATCATGTAAAATTGAGAATGGAAATGGGGAATGTGTCAAAGAGACAACAACCCGACCAAAGAGCAGAAAACAGACGAAGGCCACCAATGGGTCTTCAACACATGTACAGGAACCACATTTTAATATCACATTGAATTCACAGGTTTTGATGCATTTGGAGAAGTTCTGAAACCAGCTAATACATCTGGTCAGTTGCTGAATACACAGACTGATAAATTATTGCAGAAAGACTTAGATTCTAGCTTGGCAAGTTTAGCTGGGAACCTGAATATAAATCCTGCAGCAAGTGTCAAGAAGTAAGTATCATAGATAAAAGAACTGTAAATTAGATAATTTTTGTGATTTTTAAATTATATCTATTGCGAAAATTGTGTCATGACAGGTTTCTCAAAAATTAAAAAGAACTAAAAATTGAAAAAAAAAAATTTTCATTGCATTATTTGTAGGCAACATTTCCTGAATTCTTTATAATTTAACTCACATTTTGTCCATTGTTCAAATAATAAATGAAGGCAAAAATCTCTGAATTCGCAGTATTTCATTTACAAGAAATGTTTTAAAAAGAACTTGTTAGGATCAAATGTCCATGTGAGCTGTTGCACTCACTTGGTGTCATCTCATAGTTTCATCATAATTTTTATGCCCCCGGAGCGGAGGGGGCATTAAGTTGTACCCTTGTCCGTACGTGCATCCCAAAATTGGTTTCTGTTTTCTAACTTTAGTTTGCCTCAACCAAATGTTATGAAACTTATAAACAATGCTTACTACCACAAAACACAGATCAAGTTTGAATTTTGGTGGATACACTTTTAACGTTCTACAGTTATGCCCCTTTACAAATGGAAAAATTGCTGAATTTTTCCTTTCCGTTCCCTAATTTTAGTTTGCCTCAACCAAATGTTATGAAACTTTTACACAATGCTTTTTACTACAAAACACAGATAAATTTTGAATTTTGGTAGTGTCACTTTTACTATTCTAAAGTTATGCCCCTTTTCAAATGGAAAAATTGCTGAATTTTTCGTTTCTGTTCTCTAGTTTTAGTTTGCCTCAAACAAATGTTATGAAACTTATGTGCAATGCTTATTACCACAAAAAAAAGATCAAGTTTGAATTTTGGTGGCCTCACTATTACTGTTACAGAGTTATGCCCCTTTTCAAATGGAAAAATTGCTGAATTTTTCGTTTTTTAACTGGATTTTCTAAGGAAAAATCGGTTAGGGGACGACCATTTGATATTCTGGGGGGGGGGGGGGGGCAGGAGGATTTTGAAAATAAATAACTCAGCCTTGATAATCACAAAAATAAATGGTTTGTTCTGTGGTAGTTTGAAAATAAATAACCTGACTTGCAATGTATTAAAAATAAATAACTCGGCAGGTCTATTTGAGAGCATGAGATTGCACCAGATTCTTCCTAAAATTCAACTTTTTTTTCAAAAAAAAATCGGGAATCACTTCCCAAATCTTTGAATAATAAAAGTATAAATATTATTTAAAATACTTGAAATGTCTGAAAAATGGGTTTCATTTAACTTGAGGTATATTGTCTCAGGAACACTTAACTCACTTTTATTACATATGGCAGTAACTACATTCAGGCAAATGCCTCATGTAGGAAATTTCAAAACCAAAAGCTTGTCTTCATATCAAATTGTTTTTGCGGCAAGAAGCAAGTTCTGTTCTCCCTCAGACGTAGCTCCTGTTTTTTGGGGATCAATGTTTCTTATTTATTTGTCTTTTGTTCATTGATTGCCTTCTGTATTCTGTTAGTGTTGCATTCCTTTTGTAATTTAGTAATTTTGTTATTAACTTGATCAAGAGTTTAAAAAAAAACAGCAGCCACATACTTAACTATGTGAATTAAATTTTTGCTTTATCTTTGTCTTTTGATGTTGTTCCTAAAAACTTAAGTCTTACACTGAATCTATACATGTTGCTTTGAGACCAAAATTTGTCAAAAAATTATTAAAACAGAACCTTCATTTTCAGATTAATAAAGGGTATGGGAAACACATTTTGCATAATTAGTTCTATAGCAACTTGGGGACTTCAGCGGCTCCAAAACCCTTCAAATTTTTTTTAGCCTCGCTCCGCTCGGCATAAATCAATTGGAATACTTAAAAGACGCTAATTACAGCCAATCTTTAATATCTTGTATGTATGCAATACATGTATATGCAGTTGGGAATTCAGAAGATTCATTTCTACAGATGATGATGATTAATTCTGATTAAATGGTACATTATGATTGGACTATTCATGTATAATTTATAATAAAAAATGAATTTAAAAATTGTATGTTTTCAAATATTATAAATATAGTTGTGAAAATAAATAATCAGTCCCTTGCTTTAATGAAAATGAAAAATCTTGCTTCAACAGTGCAGAAAGTAGATAATCTGTCCTCTTAGTTTACAAAAATAAATAACCGATCAAAAACAAATCCTCCTGCCCCCCCCCCCCCCCCAGAATATCAAATGGTCGTCCCCTTAATGATTTGGGGTGTATGGCAGGCGGGTGGGCAGCAGGGCTGGCGGGCGGCTGCCAAACAGTGTCCATTCATTAACAAGAAAACTCTTTGACAAAGTTTTTTAAATGTGTTTTGATAAGTCTGGAATATGACAGTTATTATCCATTCGTTTGATGTGTTTGAGCTTTTGATTTTGCCATTTGATTAGGGACTTTCCTTTTTGAATTTTCCTCAGAGTTCAGTATTTTTGTGATTTTACTTTTTCCTGTGACTAAATGAAGGTCAAGTTCAATTTTCATGATTTTAGCTTTTCTCGTTGTTGAGTTGTAGATCTTTTAGTAGCCAAAAGTTATACTTATTATACGATTGAGTTATTTCCCTTTAAACAGAAATGGCAAATATCATTTTCATTAGATAATAATCTATTTTTATTAAAGGATATATTTCATTACATTACATTGTGTAGATAAAGTTGGTGACATTGATAGATAAGTTGCAGTTCTATATTAGTTTGTGACAAATGAAAGAAAAAATATTTGGAACTATTAATTATATATATATATATATATAAAGTTTGATTACACTAAGTGTATTTAAATAATTTTCACCTGTTGTCAGATTACAAAGCATGTGGTAAATATCTATCACACAATTATAATTGGAGTGACAGATTTATTTGAAAATTTTCTGTTTCCTAAGTGCTGATAATGATAAGCTCTGTAAGACGGTATAAATATAGTATTTGCTGTTCATTATTAGACATTTTGAAGATAATTACAGTTAAGTTTTAATGATTTTTAAAAGACATTGTATTAATGATAAATGACATTTTGGATTTTTTTTCTTCTTTTCTTTGGTAAATTGTTTAAAGAATTTTGTGGTAGGTTTGTTTGTTATTCTGTATAAACTAATATTCTGAATGTTTTTTTATACGACCGCAAAAATTTTTGCAGTCGTATATTGGTATGACGTTGGCGTCATCGTTGTCGTCTTCCGAAGACACATTGGTTTTCGCACTCTAACTTTAGTTTAAGTGAATGGATCTCTTTGAAATTTTACCATAAGGTTCAATACCACAAAAGGAAGGTTGGGATTGATTTTGGGGGTTATGGCACCAACAGTTAAGGAATTAGGGGCCAAAAAGGGGCCAAAAATAAGCATTTTCTAGTTTCCAGACAATAACTGTGGAACTCTCTGAAATTATACCACAAGTTTCCATACCACAAAGGGATGGTTAGGATTTGCTTTTGGGGGTTATGGCTCAAACCATTTAGGAATAAGGGGCAAAAAAGGGGGAAAAACAAGGTTGTCCTGGTTAATGGACAAATACTTTAGTACAAAACATAATTTAAAGCAGTGTAAGGGAGATAAATCAAATACATCATTTGAATTACCTCCCTAACACTGCTTTTAAATTATGTATAAAGTAATGGTTAATGAATAATTAAGATAATTTAAAACAGTGTAAGGGAGGTAATCCATATACAATGTTTTGGTTACTTCCCTTACACTGCTTTTAAATTATGTTTAAAGAAATGCATATTTATAAAGGAAGACCAGTAAAAATATCTACAAATGTTGCATCTTTTTTTTTTACAAAAAAATCCATATGAAAGATTTGACACCATATTTTAAATTCTATTATAAAGTAGATTAAGTTAGCACTATGGTAAATTTATATGGGTAATTATGGTTGCAAACTCCATTGGAAATTTGAATTGAGATTATGACCATATCTTTAGGGAAAGAGTTTTTTTTGGGAAAAAGAAATTGTGGGGGGTCATTTTTTTCTCATTTCAGATTTCAGAAATTAAAAAGAATTATTCTTCAAATATTATTTTTTTTTCAAATTTCAAATATTGAAACATTTCAAGAAGTAATCTTTAATTGCACAGTATGGCGCATTAGATTTGTAAAATCTTTGACCACATATATTTAATTGTTATGCCAAATCTAACCGTGTATTTAGATTTTTAATTTTGGGTCCAGTTTTCAAATTAAGGTCCAAAGGGTCCAAAATTAAACTTTGTTTGATTTTAACAAAAATTTAATATATGGGGTTCTTTAATATGCTGAATCTAAACATGTATTTAGATTTTTGATTTTGGGCCCAGTTTTCAAGTTGGTCCAAATTGGGGTCCAAAATTAAACTTTGTTTGATTTCAACAAAAATTGAATATATTGGGTTCTTTGATATGCTGTATCTAACCATGTATTTAGAATTATATTTGTGGTCCCGCTTTCAAATTGGTCCACATTGAGGTCAAAAGGGTCCAAAATTAAACTTTGTTTGATTTCATCAAAAATTGAATTATTGGGGTTCTTTGATATGCCAAATCTAACCGTGTATTTAGATTTTTAATTTTTGGTCCTGTTTTTTAAATTGGTCTACATTAAGGTCCAAAGGGTCCAAAATTAAACTTTGTTTGATTTCAACAAAAATTGAATATATGGGGTTCTTTGATATGCTGAATCTAACCATGTATTTTGATTTTGGATATTGGACCATAATAGGTAAATTAAAAAATTTTAAGTTCTTAGACCACATTCTTTCTGTGTCAGAAACCTATGCTGTGTCAAATATTTAATCACAATCCAAATTCAGAGCTGTATCAAGCTTGAATGTTGTGTCCATACTTGCCCCAACTGTTCAGGGTTCTACCTCTGCGGTCGTATCAAGCTGTGCCCAGCGGAGCATTTTATTTTTGCCTAAGCGAACTCCTTTAACAGGCTTATATTGTCTATTAATAAAAATATTTTTAGATTTCTGATTTTGGGCCAAGTTTTCAAGTTGGTCCAAATCGGGGTCCAAAATTAAACTGTG